TTGGCTGAGTTTCGAAAGGGGTTTCGGTTGCAGGTTTATCTCTGTGTGTAGTTGTCAGTTCTTGTGAATGAGAGAATCTACGGGTTGTGGATCATCAGAGAATGTGAAGCTACAAGGCTGCTATTTTCAGAGGGAATGCAGCGTGGTTTGTAAGCATGTTGTTTGGTGTAAGCTGGACAGTTTGTGGTTGTTTGGTCATGAGAACGAATTCTCTTGACAAGGTAGTGGCAGCATAAAAGATTCATGTTCTGTGCAAATTTGTGTTTGGCATAACACATGGTAATTTTGCTTAAGGAACAAGGAGTTCTTATCTCGGGTGGAGCAATATTTTCTCAGAGTGTATCTTGTGTTTTGTGTTTTTTGGATCAGATCTTCAAGTGTTAAAAGAAGCATCTGATGGTATGCAATTGGCTGTACTATTTTCTTGTGTCGAAAGTCTTCCTAGCCAAAGGGTGTTAGGCGGCGTGTCCTGTTCGTTTGAACAGCGGTGCAAGACAAGTATATAGTGGAATTGGCTACAAGAAAGTACAAGATTTTATTTATGGGATTGAGGTATGGTTTGATGGTGTATCAGCCTAAGTTGTTTCACAATTAGATCATGAAGAATGTTCCAAGTAAAGAGAGGACAAGGCTGCAGAAATTAAAGACAAGTTCTTAGTGGTTTTCTGGTTGCAAATGGATCATTTGAGGTGGCTGAAGGAAGAAAGAAGATGTGTCTCATGTTTTGACACACTTTCTCAAGCAAGTAATCATGGTGATTCATAAGGACGTGGAAATGAATCCAAGATACAGTGAAAAGTGGCTTTAACTCAGATTGGTGAAGCTCAGCTTATAGAGACAAAGTGCATCCAAGGGTTATAGTTTCAGGTGGAGTATTGTTGCTACAAAAGGAGCAATGCATATCTAAGGATATTTTTTCTTCATGGTGGAGCTATGTTTGTGGATGGTGTCTCGGAAGGTTAGCTGAAGATAAAAGAGTTAAATGGCTGTGTAACTCACTAGTTTATCAGATTCATGGAAGTTCAGTATGCTAATAAGAAAACAAGTCAAGAACAGTTTATTATCAACGAGTTTTCAGCTCAAAGAAGGTTATAGTCTGAGGGTACAAGGCTGGTTACAGTTTTTTGGTTTGAAGCTGATTGTTGGTGGTAATATTCAGAAGCAGAGCTGCAGGTTTCTATGATGGAGTTGCAGGTTTCTGAAAGCTTTTTTCGGAAGACCCTAATATGTAAACAGAGATGAAAACATTGAAGTGGTTAAGTGAGTTCTCTAAAGGAGAAACTGAGAGGAGACAAGCACGAGTGTTGCAGGAGTTGTCTCAAGGCTGTTCACTTCGGGAATGTGAAAGTGTTGTGTATCAAGTTTGATAACAACCCATCTCAAAGCTGGTCTTGGTAACTGAAAAAGGAATCCTAGGAAGGATGTAAATGCAGAGAATGCATTTGGAAGACCACAACTAAGGAGTTATTTTAGTTTTGGTTGTCTGCATCAAAGGGGAGTATATGTAAGTATCCTCTCAGAGAAAGATACTTGCAGGCCATTCAAGTGGAGTATCTTCAAGTATCATATGATGATAAAGAAGAAAAAGACTTTGGTTAAGTCTGAAAATTGGATGGTGCAAGGTTCAAATCGTTTGGTGGAGGTCCGCAGGTTTGGCAGGACTTGTACTACAGCAGAAAGTGCATCAGAATTCTAGAATTGATGTAAAAGGTGCTGTAAGGATTGTCTCAGGGTTATCACAAGGTCTTGTTGATGTGAGACAGGTTTAAAGATTGCTGGTAGTGGTTAAAATCTGCTGGTAAAGGCTCTGTTTAAACAGAACAGTTGAACAAAGGATGTGTTCTGGATTGGTTTTGTTAAACAGGTTTGTAAAGGTCATCTAAAGGTGTTGTGGTACTAAACAGGCTGTTTAGATGGTTTACATGGTGAATCAAAGAAGCTTCAGGTTTGAGCTTAAAAATGATTCTGGTTTTCTGCATTTGATTCAAGTGAATTCAAAGGGTTTTGATCTCAATGCGCATGAGGAAATCCTAGAAGCTAGCAAGGGAATCAAGTTTTGCAGATGGTTATTTGGTACTTCAGTCACTGGTACAAACTCATGGCCTTAACAGAAACCATGGTGGAGAATGTGTGATTGGACGTCTAATAAGCGGTGACGCTTATGGAGTTTTCTGTTGTGTTTAACAAGCTGGAAGTGTTCTCTTGACTTGTTAATGGAGTTGTCTGAGCGGTGATATCAAGTATTCAGGTGTTAAATGCATCATAGGAGGTGATCAGGGAAGAGTTGAGCCTAATGCAAAATTGCATTGGAGCTGGTTTTCACAACTCATGATCTAAAGATGTGTTGATGGCTCAGGCTCGTTCAGCAGTGTGAATAGTCACAGCTGAAGTGTATTGGATGTAAGTTCAATGCTGGAAGGATTAAGCAGGTTTATGGTGTTTAAACTGCTTAAAAGGTACTCTCTCTCTCTCTCAAATGTCTGCAGGTTGTGTGGATTGATCAACATGTTCTCAGGTGGAGATTTGTGGAGATGAGAACTTGTTTCTCAAGCAAATGAAGATCAAAAGCAACTCAAGGCTTAACTCTAGTCAAGTTAAAGTTGGGTTGAGTTACTTTTGGACCACAGTCATGGAGAAACGGCTATGAAGGAAATTGCTTGGAAGTAGCCTCATTTCAGCCATAAGGACATTTTGTCTGTTTGTGCTCAAAAGGGTTGCAGTTTGTTTTAGCACAAGGAAGCCCTAGTTAGCTGTGTCTATATATAGGTGCTTATCTTCATTGAGAGAAGTAAAGGGAGAAGGGAAAAAAGAGTGAGAGAGAGAGCAATAGCTCAATGTAGATCTAAGAAGAAGAGTTAGAAAGGTGTAGAGATGAGAGAAACCATGTATTAGTATAAGCTTGTCATTGTTGTTCTCTGAGTGATACATGAAGTGGTACAGAGTGAGTCTAAGTACTAGTGAAGGGTATTAGACGGGTCACTTGTAGCTTCTTGTTGTAATCACCTTCTTCTTCATAGTGGAGTTGTGGATCGAAAGATCCTAACCGGACGTAGCGGTTCGTTAACACCGTGAACCGGGTGAACAAATGATTGTGTGCTCCTCTTCTTCCTTCATCTTGCTCTGTTTTATCTTCCTCTTCTTCTCCATACTTTACTTGATTTGTTTCCGTGTTCTGGTGTTGATGACAAATGTGATAAAGCTAGAGCCTTTGAGAGGCTAAAAACCTCTACATTTCAGGGTTACTAAACCAGCGATCTGGTATTCCTTTGATCTCAACCTTTTTCAAATCATTGATTTGCACATCATAGCAGAGAAAGTAAAAGGGAGAAATCAAGTTCTTTGGTACCAAGATGACCTTGCCTTTTATAGATGTACCTTTTGCTACCCATATATTATCAGTGACTAAATGCATCTGAGAGGGCTGCAAAACTAAAGTCTTCCTCGACCATTCCTTCTTCTCGGCATCTTCCACAACCCACAAATCCACCTTACCATTCACTTGGAGATAGGTGAAATCAAAAACCGCTACATTTCCACCATACTCTATTGGAACCACGCCTTTCTCGTATCTAGGTAGTGTGTGTCCAGCATTGCGTGGTACTTGCATCATATTGAACTCTTCAGATCTGACGTTGAAACTAACAAACATACAAGTATGTGAATCAGTCCAAGCCAAAAAATACATATCAATGGAAAATAGAGGCATAGATTAAAATCTAGTTGAGTAATCTTATGGGAAAGACTTATGAATTGTGATTGAGAGTTTTGTTTATAGAGTTTGGAGGAGAAAGCATCATTGATAGAGGTACATAACAGAACCAAGTGATCTCTCTATTGTACATAGACTAAAGATTGAAGAAAGAAAAACAGATTTTGATCCTATAAACTCAAGTACTCAACCAAGAGGCCAAAAACAAAAACATTAAAAACTGACCAAATCAGATCGATTTTTCTATTTTCTTAAATCGTTTTATTTTATTTTTTATTCGGTATATATTTTAGTATTCACTACTAACTCCTTGTGTAGTTCAAGCGACTTGTATCACGACTCTGTTTTAGAATTGCTTCATTTCATGGTAGAAAGATAAAATTAACCATTAGAGATGGTCATATTGCCTAGAAACCAATGTTTGAGTTCTTAACTAACTTTTGTAAAAAACTTAGGGATCAAATGGTTGCAGCGGTTGGGACGGACAAATCCGTTTGTGAATTGGATCGCTTTTTATTTACCATTCATAAATTATAGTCCTTAATAGTGCGCGGATCGAGAAAAATAGAAGTAATCCACTGCAGACCAATTACAAACCCTTTTTACATAAAAATAAATTTGGCTCGCAGCAAATGTTGTTCATCCCAAAAATAGAGTGGTTTAGTCTGTTAGTAGTTTAATTCATTCCGCCCGCAACATCTGTTCAAACCCTTAACATTTTGTAATATACAACGAGCTAGTTGAAACTTATTACTCGTTAGCTTGTGTTCCCCTTCTCCCTTTCCAACCTTTCCAGCCTCCCTTATAGATAGATCGGGAAGTGCCTTAACTACGAAATTCCAAAGAAAAGAAAAATAAAGAATAGGAAAAAGACAAAGATATAACCGTTGATGATTAGTTGGATGACAGGCTGACATAGAAGCCAACAAATCTCACTCTCACATGGACCAAAGCTTCTCTGTCCCACCATTTTGTATTCTCAATCTCCTTTGCTTTATTTATTCATTACACCAAAGCTCCAATACAACATGGCATTTTTTTTAATTTCATGATATTTTTATCTAATTTAATGTTACATTACATATTTAGCTTTTAATTAATGTCATGCATTGGTTAATTAATGACAATCATTTTTGAGAATGTGGAGTGTATTTCACAAAATTGAGAATATTACAAATACATGAGTTGAGTTACATTTCTAACAACCTGGATTTTGTGATATGACTGGCTTTTTAGGTTTTGTTGGTCTCCATTTGATTATAAAACAAAATGTATTTATTACCTATATTCCAAAAGTACCCTTATGTACCATGTAAAGGTTCTCTTCTTATAAAGCAACACACAAGAGCAAGAAATCTCCATAACAAGAGAGAGAAACCAATTTTTTCAGTGAGTGAGCTAAGATAAGAAAAATGTCAAAAGAAGTGAGTGAAGAAGGAAGACATGGCAAAGACTACGTTGATCCACCTCCAGCTCCACTTCTAGACATGGCTGAGATTAAGCTCTGGTCTTTCTACAGAGCTATCATCGCAGAGTTCATAGCCACTCTCCTCTTCCTCTACGTAACCGTAGCTACAGTCATTGGCCACAAGAACCAAACCGGTCCTTGTGACGGTGTTGGTTTACTCGGCATTGCGTGGGCCTTTGGTGGCATGATCTTTGTCCTCGTCTATTGCACCGCCGGTATCTCCGGTAAATATTTCCACAAAACCACATAAATTTCCCTAACCCTAAACTTTTAAGATCTTAAATATATGAAGTTGTTTAGCAATGATACATTTCTTTAGTAAGTTTATAAAATATTTCAAGAAAACTTTACCCTAAAATTACTAAATCCTTAATCTTCAAGATCTTAAAATATGAAGTTGTTTTACTGCAGGAGGTCACATTAATCCAGCTGTGACGTTTGGTCTGTTCTTGGCTCGTAAAGTGTCGCTCCTTAGAGCAGTTGCTTACATGGTGGCTCAATGTCTTGGAGCTATTTGTGGAGTTGGACTCGTTAAAGCCTTTATGATGACTCCATACAAACGTCTAGGTGGCGGAGCTAACACCGTGGCTGATGGTTATAGCACCGGAACTGCTCTTGGTGCTGAGATTATTGGCACATTTGTCTTGGTCTACACTGTCTTCTCTGCCACTGACCCTAAAAGAAGCGCGCGTGACTCTCACGTCCCGGTTAGTAAAACATTTCAAACCGGTTTTGTGTAATTTATTCTAAAGTTAAATTCTTTTGAATGTTATCTTATGGTTTCATAATTGGTTTATGTGATTTCTAACAAAGTAGAATCTTTTTGATTCTTTTTCATATGTTTCATAATGGGTTTGTAAAAAAGTTTAAATCTTTGAACAATTTTTTGGTATTCAAATGGTTTTGTGTAGTTTCGAATAAAGTTGAATTCTTTTGACTACTTTTTGTAGGTTTCAAAATGGGTTTATGTAATTTTTAACAGAGTTTTCTGCATGGGTTTCTACAATGTTAAATTCTTTGGAATATTTTTCATATGTTTTCACATGGGTTTGTGTAATTTCTATAAAAGTTAAAATCTTTTGAATGTCTTAATGTTTATAGGTTTTGGCTCCGTTACCTATTGGGTTTGCTGTGTTTATGGTGCATTTGGCTACTATCCCAATCACTGGAACTGGAATTAATCCAGCTAGGAGCTTTGGTGCTGCTGTTATCTACAACAATGAGAAAGCTTGGGACGACCATGTAAGTATAATAATCTCTCATAACAATCAATTTAATTATTATTTTTTTGTTGAATAATTATTAATTAAGTTTTGGGTTTATGGAATTGAAATAGTGGATCTTTTGGGTTGGACCATTCGTGGGAGCATTAGCAGCAGCAGCATACCATCAATACATCTTGAGAGCTGCAGCAATCAAAGCCTTGGCTTCATTCCGAAGCAACCCAACCAATTGATGATGAATGAGACTTCTTACAACAATTTGAGCTCTGTTTTGTGTGCTTAGTGAGAGATATTTGTGTGTTTTAATTTGATGTAATCGGATTTATTCATTTTCAATAGTTTAGTTTGGTTTAATTCATCTTTGTATCGTTGCTTTCTTTCATGTAGGACATCTTATGATTCACTTTTTATATTATAGTCCGAATTAAAACATTTATTAAAACTTTATATGAACCCACATGCATGTTCTTTAAAAACATTAATTCCTTGGTCTTTTTGTCTTATGGTACTTGATTCTTCTTATCCGTTCATTTTTTTTTTTTTTTTTTTTTTCGTCAAAACCCATTTTATTAAGTTATCGGACGGAGACTTTCCTCTAAAGAGAGCCAATCTGGAGCCGATGTGCTATTGACACATGTTCATAACTTAGAAGTAATAGACTAATAGCTAAAGCCTTGGGGCATGGAATAAGGATGGAGTTTAGCAATAAACATTGTCACGCTCACGTCTCGTCTTTTTAGAATTGTAGAGACAGAGAAGTGTGTGGTCCTTTTGATAAAGAGGTCAAAAATTTCGAAAAGGGCTCGAAAGCAGACGGACATGGAGAGGAAAAGATAAAGGACCACCACACTAAATGGTCCACAATTCCATTTTTCACTCTTCACAACGTAAACCAGTTTGGTTTGAGTGGTTAGTTGGTTATCAATAGACCAGTTTACACATTTCTATCTCAATAATAACCGGAACAAAGTGGCTAAAGAAAAGTTGAGACCCCGAGTTTGGCTATATCAGCTGATTCTATTTTGACCAACAAAGAAAAAAGTAAATAGGGTAAAACTTTTATCTTGTTACCGTTTGTTCTCTCTAACGAGAAAAATTACTGGTACCGAAATTTGTTTGGATTTAAGGTGGCTAAAGAAAAGTTCATTCTACAATTTAGTTCTCTCAAGGATAATTTAAGAACAATTAAGCAGACAACAGCATATAAGTTTACTTTTCGAACCAGAAATCCATTCCCTTGTTTCCAACATGTGATCTCAAGTAGTTTAGTCGGGCAATGCAGTTCCTCGTTCCAAGTTGTTTTTGATCTCCAGTGTGTACTTCCCAAAGGCACGCTCGATTTTCTTGTTGAAATGCTCGTTTCTGTCATTGATGGAATCGATATCCTTCTCTTCCCGGAACTTTCTCCTCCTGCTAAACTCTTGTCGCTTTTGCTCTCTGTCTAAGAGCTCTTTTGCCATCTTATCTATCTTATCTTTCGAAGTTTTTGGAGCCTGCAAAAGTTTAACAAAGGATTGAGCTTTTCTATGACTCTTTACTTAGATTTGAGTCTCCAATTGGCCAAAACGACAAATCACAAACCTTCCCATATTGCAAGCTTGAGGCCTCACGGTAAAACTCTGGATCAGCTGCTCTCATTCTGTTATACTCCTCTAGATCAACCTGAATATTCTTTGTCCGTTTCTTATATGCGTTGTATAATGTTTTCTGGTTAAAGACTGAAGACAAAGACAACATTTCACAACATTAGCCTCCGAATAATTGAGTTATCATATCATCGACGTGAAACATAACAAATAATAAGAGAGTAGAGTAACAATTCAGTAGGAATTTCACGTACCATCCCAACCAGCAGGCGTAGGTTCCTTTTCCCATTTTTTGTATTTTGTTTCTGCTGCTTCTTGAGTATCGAGCATATAAGCCTTTGTCATATCTAAACCATTAGCATCGAGAAGTTTCCCAATCTTTTTCTTCCTCCCCTCCACCCATTTCTGTTTTGAGATTCCTTTTGTCTCTGTTGGTGCTTCCATTTTCTTCTTTTCACTCCCGACATCCGTCTGATTGGATTTTCTTGCTTCATTCTGAAAAGAAAGCGTTATGGAAGAGTTACATATATAAAACGATCTTTGGATTTTTTTTAAGGAATTACTAATGACTGTACAAAAAGACTTACCATCTTAAGTCTCAACTCAAACAACTTCTTCTGCCTCCCTGTAAGTTGAGACACATCTACTTCAGGTTCTTGGTTATCCTCTTCCTCTTCTTCTTCTGAGCTATCTTCCTCTATTTGTTTATCATCGAATGGCTCCCTTGTCTGCTCATGAACTTTAGCATCAGGATAACCACGCCCATCACCAGTAGCTAATCCTTTTGGCACATGAAAACGAAAAACAAGTCTCAGAATGGCAATTCACAATCGCTTCTTATCAGAACTACATGAACCATTCATAAGACAGGACATCACAGTGACAAGTAATATGTCTCTATCTGTGTCTGCGCGGAGTGGGTAAATCACAAAATTGAAACTAAGTCGCATTGTGACATCACCAGCTTTATCTAAAAAATTACTCACAACACTAACAATAATGAACCTCAAAAAGCTAAGCCACAGAATCGAAAAGAACACAAACCGGTATTCTTAAAGCAATAACTACTTCTTCACTAATTTTTAAATAGTGAGTGGATCACGGAATCGAAACTCAGTCACATTGTAGCATCACTAGAAACTTAATGTGCAAATTCACTAACAGCTCTCTAAACGAACAACCTAACAAGTAGCTAATCATTAAACCTCAAACAGCTATAACTACACATCAAAAATATAGACCATGCGAAACAACATAGACGATAGAAACATCAATTGCAGGTACCGACATAATAGAAAAAGAACACAAACCAGTATTCTGCTTCTCGAATCTGGCCTTTGCTTCAGCAATTTTCTTAAAGCAATACTCAACACACTCGTGATAAGGATTCGAAGCATTTATACAGTCCGGATGCACTCTTCTCTCACTAACCATACTTCCAAGCCTTACGAAACTGCAAAACAAATCAACAGAAACGCCAATAAAGTTATCCAATACAGCATTGAGATTCAAAATAATAAACATAGACGCATAAGTTGATATTACATCCCAAAACTATATAACACATAATAACAACAAAATCACACATTAAGATGACGAAAATAAAAATCTTAAATGGGTTCAATGAAAAATCCCTAATTTGAAGCTAAACTATATAACACAGCCACCCAATGAAAACAAAATTCACACTATAAGTTGATGCAAACAAGAACTTAACCGGATTCAACGAAAATTTCCTAATTTGATGCAAATTCACTTCAACATTAAAGCTAATCTGTTCAAACCCTAAAACAGGAGGGGGAAATTTGTAGAATCATGACCTAATCGATGAAACAATTAAAACCCTAGAATACAGAGAAGAAAAAAACACTCTGACTGAAATCGAATCAAGAAACTAACCTGTGAAGAAACAATTCGCAGGAATCAGCAAGTATGAGAAGAACACCAGATATTTCGCGGACGATAATTTTTTTTTTTTCTTTCTCCTTAGTGGAGAAGAAGAGAGGAGAATAAAATATTGGAAAATAAAAATAATTATAAGACTGATAATTTGGTGGGCTATAGATGGGCCTCTTAACTTTTACTTGGGCCAACAAAACATTTAAGGAATTATGACATTAATCCTAGCAAAAGTAAACAATTTGATAATTATTTTTTAAGTCTTTGAAAAAAAATTGAATAGTTAATATTTATTTTATTTATAAATTTCTCTACATAAAAAATATAAATATTTATTTCAAAGTATATTTCGTTCGTGCTGAATAATTTTAAAATGTTTTATTAGCTATAGTTTTAAAATGCTATTATTAATAATAGGAGGAAAAAATTAATACTCCCTCCGTTTTCGAATAGTTGTCGTTTTAGAGAAATTTTTTTGTTTTTAATTAGTTGTCGTTTTCAGTTTTTGATGCAAAATTTATTATTTTTTTATTTTTTATATTTATTTTTATTATGCAACTTGATTTACTATTGGTTAAATTATGTTTAAGTAGATAATTAATGATATTTTTATATTGAAAAACTAACAACATTAATAGTTTCTTAATTTGTGTGCATATAGTTAAAACGACAACTATTCGAAAACGGAGGGAGTATATTTCATGTTCGCAAAAGTAAAAGCTAGAAAATAAAAAAAAAATAAGTCTTAATATGCTCTAATATTTTGTTCAAGGGTGCTAGAAAAAAAAAAGCTAACATCTTTTATATTTTTATGATTATATCCTTCTAAATCCATATAATGGCATTCTCCCTCCTACAATTTTTAAAAACTAGCTAGCACACTTATCTTTTGGAAAAAATGTCATTTAATAGCCGAACTTTCAAATTGTGGCCATTTGGCACACCAACTTCACATATGGCCATTCTATACATGATAAAATCGTTGACTTCTTTTTAACACATGACAAAATCGTTGACCACGCCAAAACAACACCCGTTAACGGATCCGCTAACACCCGTTAACACCCCGTTAACACCTCCGTTACTTCCCAAAACGACGTCGTTTTGGTCTTAAAACAAAACTTCAAAAATCAAAATCCCCAATTCACAAAAATCAAATCCCTAATTTTTCGAAAGAGATTCTCCGATGAACTAACAATTGTGAATCATATCGTTGATTGGGTCTGTAATTGAAGCTGCAATGCAAGGCGAATTAGATAGAGAAGAAGAGGTTGTCGTCGGAGATGGAGTTCCATGTCCTCCGACGGAAGAAGCTTCAGAGTTAGCTGGCGGAGCACAATCTTCTCCCGTAGCTAAAGGTCGAGCTTCACGACGGCGTCGAAAACGAAAAAGAGTCAGACATGAAGAAGAGGAGGATGAAGAGCCTGAAATGGTGCATGAGCCTGACCTCGAAGATGACTGCGCCGTGTATGGTGATGAAGACTGTGATGCTATTGATGATGCAGTTGGCGGTGGAGATAACGATGTTGTTGATGATGCAGTTGATGGTGGGGACAACGATGATAATGGTGGTTTAGCTGTGGAAGAGAATGTTAACATGGAAGAAGATTTTCCCGAAGCTTTAAGAGGAGACGAAGGTGGTACTGATTCTGACAGTGGGGATGATATCTGGGAGGATGAGAAGATTCCAGATCCTTTGTCATCGGACGACGAAGATGAAGACAGAGCCGAAGAAGAGGGAAATCAAAGTGAAGAAGAGGATCCAGAGGTGTTGCTAGCTCTGGCGAAAACTTTCAACACTCCTGATGACTTCAAGCTTGCTCTTTTGAGATACTCCTTAAAGACAAGGTATGACATTAAACTTTATAGGTCTGAAGCTTTGATAGTTGCTGCTAAGTGTTGCTATGTTGGTGATGATGGTATTCCTTGTGGTTGGAGAGTCTATTGTTCTTATGAGAAAAGAAAACATAAGATGCAAATAAGAGCCTATGACAGTGAGCATATCTGTGTTAGGTCAGGCTATTCTAAGATGTTGAAGCGGTCCTCAATTGCATTATTGTTTGAGGAAAGGCTGAGAGTGAATCCAAAACTTACAAAAAATGAGATGGTTACTGAAATTAAGAGGGAATACAACTTGGAAGTAACTCCGGAATAGTGTGCTAAGGCGAAGACCAAAGTGCTGAGAGCAAGACATGCTAGTCATGATGATCACTTTTCAAGAATATGGGATTATCAAGCTGAGGTTTTAAAGCAGAATCCAGGGACAGAGTTTGAGATAGAGACAGTTCCAGGGCCTGTTATTGGAAGCAAGCAGAGGTTTTATCGGTTATATATATGTTTTAATTCTCAAAAGGATTCTTGGAAGCAAACTTGTAGACCTGTGATAGGAATCGATAGAGCCTATCTGAAATGGGATATAAAGGGTCATCTTCTTGCTGCTGTTGGAAGGGATGGCGATAATAGGATTGTTCCTATAGCTTGGGCAGTTGTAGAGATAGAAAACGATGATAATTGGGACTGGTTTATGAGACACCTCTCTGCTAGCTTGGGGCTCTGTGAAATGCAACATCTAGCTATCATCTCAGATAAACAATCGGTTAGTTTTCTTGGTTTATTAGAGATTGCTTATGGTTTTAAGTCTTTTATGAATGGTTTTCAGCTTATTTTCTTGTGTTTTCTTATGTTTTTCTGCAGAGTCTATTCAAAGCTATCCATACCATACTCCCAGAAGCTGAGCATCGACAATGTTCAAAGCATATAATGGACAACTGGAAGAGGGACAGCCATGATATAGAACTAACACGTCTCTTTTGGAAGATTAGCCGCAGTTACACCATAGAAGAGTTCAACAATCATATGGAAGAGCTTAGGAAGTACAATCCTCAAGCTCATGCAAGTCTGCAGCTTACTAGTCCAATGACATGGTCAAGAGCCTTCTTTAGAATAGGGACTTGCTGCAATGACAACCTCAATAATCTGAGTGAGTCTTTTAATAGGACTATTAGACAGGCTAGGAGAAAGCCTTTGCTAGAAGACATCCGGAGGCAATGCATGGTCAGAACTGCAAAGAGGTATATCATTGCTGACAGATTGAAGACAAGATTCACAAAGAGAGCCCATCTTGAGATTGAGAAAATGATAGCTGGGGTTAGAAATTGTGAGAGATATATGGCCAGAAACAATTTGCATCAAATAGAAGTGAATGGTGTTAGTTACTTTGTAGATATGGACAATAAAACTTGTGGTTGTAGGAAGTGGCAGATGGTGGGGATCCCTTGTATTCATGCGGCATCTGTGATAATAGGCAAAAGAGAGAAGGTTGAAGACTATGTCAGCGAGTATTATACAAAGGTAATGTGGCGAGAAACATATAGGGATGGTATTAGGCCTGTCCAAGGGATGCCATTGTGGCCTAGAACAAGTAGGTTGCCTGTCTTGCCACCACCATGGAGAAGAGGCAACAGAGGAAGGCCTAATAATCATGCTAGGAGAAAGGGAAGAAATGAGACTGCTTCTTCTTCTAATAAGAACAAGATGTCACGGGAAAAGAGAATCATGACATGCTCTAACTGCCTGTAAGAAGGGCATAACAAGCAAGGGTGCAAAAATGCAACAGTCTTGAATCCACCACCTAGACCAAGAGGAAGACCAAGAAAAAGGCCGGTATGTTTTAAAGCTTTTTCTGTGTTACAACTCACTGAATTCATGTGTTTTCTGTTTTACAACTCACTGAATTCATGTGACAACTCACTAAATGCATTCTGGTTTTTGGTAGGCGCCAGAAGTGCTTGCAACATTTCCTAGTCAAGCTCATCCTGGATCACAAGGACAAGTGCAAGGCTCACAAGGAACACACACGGCTCTTGGCTCACAACAAGGATCACAACCTCATTTTGCATCACAAGGATTACAAGCTACATCAGGTCATCAATCACACGATGCACAAGCTCATCAAACGCATGGAGCAGAGTCACAAGGTCAACCAGAAGGACAGGGGCTTAGTAGATTTGCATCATGGTTTCAGTGTTCCAATTGATGAAGATTTTCTGAAGTTTTTTTTGTTTCTGAACAAAACCTTTCTATTGGAGTATTTTGGTCTGTTTGAACCTAACTTCTTGTTGTTTGGTTCTTCTATGACTTGTATTGTTCTTTTTGTTTAGTTGTATGAATGGTTGTTGGTCTTTCTGACATAACTCTTATCGATCAAGAGAAGACAAATTTGTATTTCCATTACCAAAGGCACAACTCACAAGGATCACAAAGCCAAAATAGCATTTCATTAAAGCAAGACACAACACTAAAGACCAAACAACTAAAACTCATACCAAACAACTAAAACTCATACCAAACAACAAAGAAACTAGTATCCTATAACAAGATTCTGGTTTTTGGTAGTAAACAACAGTAGGATCACAATTACAGTAACAGTTAAACAAATGCAGACCAACCACACTTTGATTCTCTTAATTTCTCTTTTGCTCCACGTTCCATCTTCCTTCAATTCATTGATCATCCACTTTAACTCTGAAATCTCGACTTGAACCTCAGATTTTGCATTGTTTATCTCATTGTCAATGATGGAGATTTTTGACTTAGTGTCTACAACCTCTTCGTACACACAATCTTCGACCCATTTAAACAAATGGTCCTGCATTATAGTTGAAAATATATTACCGACCAAACCCAAAAAATACTAAATCAAATCTACTTACATCATTCAAGGTTGGACATCGGAAGAACGGTCTTCCTAGGTTCTGCTTCGTCTTCGATATGTAGATGACAACGTCTAACCCGCAGTGACACTTTGAAGGAAACCCACGGAACTCGCAACCTCCATCTTGAACACTCGAATTACCTGACTTGCAACTCATATCTCGTGTAGAAGACGGAGAATTTGATGAAAATAAAGAAGATTTCGAGCTTAAAGGAAGATATTGCTGAGAATTGAAAATTTTAGGGTTTGAAATCGATTTGGGAATTTCTCAGAATTTGAGAGCTTTTGAAGTTTTGTTTTAAGACCAAAACGACGTCGTTTTGGGAAGTAACGGAGGTGTTAACGGGTGTTAACGGGTGTTAGCGGATCCATTAACGGGTGTTGTTTTGGCGTGGTCAACGATTTTGTCATGTGTTAAAAAGAAGTCAACGATTTTATCATATATAGAATGGCCATATGTGAAGTTGGTGTGCCAAATGGCCACAATTTGAAAGTTCGGCTATTAAATGACATTTTTCCCCTTATCTTTTCCAATCATTTTTTTCAAATTTTAATGTAATATTTGTTTATATATATACACGAAAATGTTTATAGAAACAATAACTATATTCACATGGTAAATTCGAAAATGTTTTTAACAAATATAAAAATTAGATAGAAAATATAATTAAATTCGAAATATATAAACTAAATTCAGGTAAAAAGCGTAGATAAAATCCTCGTACAATAACAAAGTGAAAGACATTACTATTTGAATACCATTTAACAAAAAATACAAAAGAAAAGTGAAAGACATTAAAAATAGAATGGGTTCGATTACATTTAGGACCATTGCCAAATGACCCACCACCACATTATCATTCTTTCCTAATGCTGTATTCTTGAAGAGCTCCTCGATCTATGCAATCTGTCGTTTCCTTACTTAACACAAGCTTTCCGATGTTTCTCACAATATTGGATAGATCAAAGCAGATGAAGAACCAACTCCAACAATCTATAGGTTTCTTCTTTCCTTCAACATTGTTTGATTCCGAGTCAAAGCTTATTAGATGATCATTGTTGTTGTCTTCAGAGTCGTGGAGTTCAATAATTCTATCCCTTGGCAAACAAAATTTCCAGGGATCTTTTAGTAAATAACCAATCATTTTTTTCAGTTTCCTTTTATGTAAGTAAGCTTTAAAAATTTTGGCATGGGACTTGAGCCCCCTAGAACTTTGGCATGGGACCTGAGTCCTGCTGCTTCTCTCCGGTTCATTCTTCAAGATTCGTACCCCACATTCAAGAATCTTGAAGTTATCATATGGATTTGAGTTGTCGATGCAGAATTCAAACAATGCCTTGCGGCTGCTAACTTCAAGCACTCTGCCATGAAATATACACAGATGTTCGGTTCGCATTCTGGTAGATTCGTCTACGCAAATAACTTCATTGTAACTGCCTACGATACACCGTATATCAGTGTGTCCACTTGGATGATCTTGCTGGTTAGGTGAAATCACGACGCACGCCTTAAACTTGAAGGATGTAGAAGAAAGACGAATGGTAGTTAAGGAATTACCCGTAGTTCTTTGATTGAACTCATTAGGCATTACTCTCCCGGGTAAGCATGAAAAGCCGTTAAGAAATTGATTCACACATCGTTGGATGATTAGTGTCCTTGATTCTTCACCAAGTTTGAAGCAGTTGATGAAATTGAGTCGCGCATTTGGAGTGTTTAAAGGGTACGTTACTATCTCCAGTGATTCACAATCTGAAGCCACTAAGAGTCCGAGTGACATAGGGAGCTCTGGCAATGCTGTGAGTTTTCTGCAGCCGTCTATGAAAAGAGATGTTAGCCCATGAAAACCTTTGATGCAATCTGGAATCTTCTCAATATCAGTATAGCTTAGAATTAGCACCTCTACCCTCTCTGGGAAATGTGTTAAGCTCTTAAGATTTCGATTATCTCTTAAAAAAAAATTCGAAAGACGTGACCAATGCCTAACTGATGCAGGCACTTCTTCTACCGATGTGCCCCATAGAAGGAGTCTCTCAATGTTTGTAGAAAAATCAGGAAATGTTTTTAATCGTGAACACCCAGTCATGGTGAGACGCTCAAGAGATGCCAAGTTGATGTGAGTTGGTATGACTTCTAGACTTATGCAGTTACGCATCACTAAGTTCTCTAGTTTATGAAGATTCCCAATAGACGTTGGAAGCTCGACCAAAGCCATGCAATCACCTAGTTCCAATCTCTCCAGGTTTGTAGCATTTGAAAGATCTGGGAGTTCCTTCAAATGAATTGACCTTGACAAATCCATCAACTTGAGATTTCTCAACAGCTGAATGTCAAATCATAGAAGAGAGGAGGACCATCAGAATTTCAATAGTATTATTTTATATTTTTCAACTACTGCTAAAATGAAAACACAAAAAACTAACCTGAGTTCCTTCCCAGAGCTTTTCGAGCTGGCTATCTTTCATATTGAGTTCAACAAGATTTTCCACGCAAAATCCAAGAGGAAGACTCTTGCTCGGATATGCTTCCCAATGTAGTAACCTTAGGCGAGGTGGAAACTTCATGTCATCTGGTATATGCATTATATCATTCCCATCATGTCTTGTCTTGTAAACACTTAAGAATCGAAGATTACACATTCTTCTTAGAGCTCTATTGCTTAAAATCACTTCGCTAATTCCTGATGTATCAAATGATATGCCAGACACAACTCCAGTACCCTAAAATCATGTTTTCAATATAAAGAAACTGTTAGCAAAATAGATTTTTTCAAAGTGTTAAGATTTCTTCAGAAATAACCAAATCCAAAGAAATAACTTACTTTATCATTTTCAAGGACATGACAAATCTCTTGAGCATTAGTTAAGATCAAGCGTTTCCAAGGCTCTTGTCTGTTAATGGCTTGTCTGCCCACTTGTTGTAGCAACTTGTGCATTCTTATTTCCCCATTGTTAGATATATATATGAGAGATTTGTTTACCATGATTTTTAACCCGTGTGTGATATCCAAGTTATCATCAGCAAGCATGGCTTTCACAAGATCAACATCTTTATTGTTGAAGAAGACTGCAATGTGGAGAAACAGAGATTGCTCATTCTCATGTAAACTTTCATAGCCGACTCTTAGTACTTCTTCGATGTCTCGATCAATAATAGTTTCTAGCCTGCGTATCACAGATACCCATTCGTCCTCATTCTTCCCATGTAAAGATGAACCGACCACACGTAAACCCAAAGGAAGGTTACCACAAAGCCATGTTACGTTTTTGGCTAGATATTTAAAACCGCGACGTGGAGAGCTTTGTTTGAAAGCATATCTACATAAGATCTCGATAGCTTTTTCGTCAGAAGGAAAGCCCACATGGTACGTATTGTCGATACCATGTCGCTGCAAAATCTCTTTGTTTTCTGTTGTCACAATAACCCTACTTCCAGGACCAAACCAAGTGGTGTCATTAGCCAAAGCCTCTAATTGCTTTACATCATTCACATCATCAAGAACGATAAGCACTTTCATGTCGCATAGCCTCTCTTTTACCGCACCTAAATGGCTTATCCTCATACCATCTAGTTTCAAAATCTTTGAAAGAAGGTGTTCTTGTAAACGCAACTTCAAACCATACTCATCAAGACCGATGGGATAGCTTCCACTAAGATTTTCCACAAAACAAGTAAGCTGAAACTTATTAAAGAGTAGACTATGCAAAGCTCTCGCAATAGTTGTCTTACCAATACCTGCAGGACCAAAGATTCCAACAATCTTAACTCCATCATAATCAAAGTCTAGCAAAAGCTCCATTTCTTTCAAATGTTCTTCAATTCCTACCATGCCATCAAAATCACTAGACGGTGTCGCATTCAGTTTTTCTGATACATCTCTCGCAATTTTCTCGATCATTTCCGCTTCATTTTCCCTAACAAAAGAGAAACATAAATACTGTTTCCATCAAAGCATAGAGGTAACATATTTCACAAAACACAAACCAGTTAAGGAAGTGTTCTCCGGCTATGTTGCCGACATCATTCAAAGCTTGGCTCCAATTTCGCCTCTCTTCCTTTGTTCTACGGGCACAAGTTTTATTGAAAACGGTCCCGAATTCACCGGTTTGTTTGCGGACATCAGATGGATCTACTCCGTAGAAGACAGTCATCACTATCTGCCCAATATCTTCCCTACACTTCAAAATCTCCAAGAGCTCATCCAAACACCAAGTAGAAGAAGCATAGTTCTTGGAGAGAATCACGATCGAGATCCTCGATTCTCTAATCCCTTGCGTGAGTGAAGGAGCGATGGTTTGACTTCTCACGATCTTTTGATCATCGAACATTGTGATCCCATTGGAGATGAACTGTTTGCGAAAATGACTCAGAAAGCTTTTACGGACGTCTGGTCCGTGGAAGCTCGCAAAGACGCGGTATGTCCAGGTGCGAGATGATGAAGAAGAAGCCATGAGATAGAGAGCAGAGAGAAAATTTGGAGCTCAGATG